AACATATCAATGCGCAGGCGAATAACATAGAAGGCAACTCAACAAAAAGGGGAGTGGCTCCGCTAAAGCAAATAGATCCACTACATATACTACACTCCTCCCCTTTTAGAGTAATGCGCTACACTATAAGTAACATGAAACATTTCCAATATATTAAACACAATGTGCCAACCAGGTAACACACATTGAACCCTCAGTTTTTTTTGTTTTTTTTTAACAGAAGTCCCACAAGTGAACTCATAAATCCAATCTTTTAGGGGGTGCCCTGAGTCGTTCAGGGTTACGTCTAGGAGCCTGTGGAGTGCTCTCGGTAGGGGGCACGTCCTCAGCAACTGGGGGTGTCACTGTACTGGGTTCAGAGTTGGTTTCAGGACCAGGTGGACGTGCTGGTTGCTCTGGTGTCTTTGGTTGAGCATTCAACAGCTGATCCACATGACGTCTCCAGGTATGCTCTCCAGTGTCCACCTCGTACATCAGAGGGCCGCTCCGAGTGATTATCTTTCCAGGCGTCCATTTTTCCCCTCGGTAGTCACGTGCCAGGACCTGTTGACCCACATCGAAACTCCTTGGCGGTTCACGTGCAAAGTTGCTGAACTGTTTGTTCTGCACTTCTCTCCTCAGGTTCGGCTTCAGAAGGTCAATGCGAGATCTGAGCTGTCTATTCATAAACAGCAGTGCAGGTGACTGATTAGTCGTTGCATGTACAGAATTTCGGTACACCAGGAGGAAATTGTCAATTTTGTGTTGAATAGAGATGTCGTCTCTTGTCATTGCTTTCATGGCCTTTTTAAATGTTTGTACGAACCGTTCTGCTAACCCGTTTGTTGCAGGATGGTGAGGTGCTGACTTGAAATGCTTGATACCATTCTTTTTCATGAAATCTCGGAATTCTTCAGAAGTATACTGTGGGCCATTGTCACTCACAATTTGCTCAGGCAGGCCATTCCTGGCGAAGATGGTTCTCAAAACAGAGATGGTCTTTTCTGATGTTGTTGATTTCATTGGGACTACTTCTGGCCACTTTGAGTGAGCGTCCACAGCTATGAGAAACATAGAGTTCATGAACGGACCAGCAAAATCAATGTGCACTCTCTGCCAAGGTGCAGATGGCCATTCCCACGGATGTAAAGGAGCCTGTGGTGGTGCATTTTGCACGCTTAGGCATCCTGGACAGGTTTTGGTGATGTCCTCAATCTGTTTATCTATCCCCGGCCACCATACATAGCTACGGGCCAGACTTTTCATCTTCACCGTACCTACATGAGCCTCATGCAGACTGTCCAACACTCTGGTGCGAAGTTTGGACGGCACTACCACCCGTGATCCACACATCAAGGTTCCCTGGCAGACTGACAGCTGATCACGTCTTGCTGAAAACTCAGGAAAGCATGGATTCCCATGGGCAGGCCAGCCTTGTACTGTGATGTCATACACCTTGGAAAGTGCTGGATCATTCCGCGTTTCTTTTCTTATCATGGCATTCGTAACTGGCAGCTGGTCTATCAGTGTTGTGTGGAACATTTCTGCCGGGTCACCTTTTGATGCCGGTTCCTCCACAGATGTTGACAGAGGGAGACGTGACAACCCATCGGCATTGCAGTGTTGTTTAGTCCCCTTGAACTCGATGTCATATGAGTGTGCTCCTAAGAACAGGGCCCATCGTTGTAGTCGCGCAGCTGACATCACTGGGACTCCTTTTCGTGGGTTGAATATTGACACTAGGGGCTGATGATCTGTCACTAAAGTAAACCTTCGACCATAAAGGTAATGATGAAACTTTTTGATACCCCAGACTAGACTAAGGGCTTCCCTGTCTATCTGTGCATAATTGCGCTCAGCACTAGACAGCGACCTTGAAGCGAATGCAATTGGGCGTTCAAGTCCATTATCCATCGTGTGCGACAGGACTGCGCCAATACCATACGGGGACGCGTCACATGCCAGACGGATGGGTCTGGACGGATCGTAGTGGGTAAGTAGCTCGTCAGATGTAATTAGTCTTTTTGTTTCTGTGAATGCCTTTTCACATTTTTCACACCATTTCCATTCCACTCCTGTCTGTAGCAGCGCATTTAGTGGGTACAGCACTGAGGCAAGGTTTGGCAGAAACTTGTGGTAATAGTTAACGAGACCCAAGTACGATCTGAGTTGTGACACATTTTTAGGTTTAGGTGCCTTCAGCACTGCCTCAATTTTCTCTTGTGACTTGTGCAAGCCGTGCTTGTCAATGACATGTCCGCAGTATGAGATTTCACTTTTGAAAAACTCACATTTTTCTCTCTTTGCCCGTAGGCCATACTCATTCAGCCTGGTGAGTACTTTGCTCAGGTTTTGGAAATGATCATCATCATCTTTTCCTGTTATGATAATATCATCCAGGTAGCATTGTGTTCCAGGTATGTCTTGGAGCACCTGATCCATGGCTCTTTGCCAGATGGCTGGAGCTGAAGCAACACCAAACACAAGACGATTGTATTGGTAAAGTCCCTTATGCGTGTTGATGGTTAGGAACTTTTTGCTTGACTCCTCCACTTCCATCTGGAGATATGCCTGTGACAAGTCAATCTTTGAAAACTTTTCCCCACCAGCCAATGATGAGAAGATGTCCTCTATTCGTGGCAGGGGGTACTGCACTGTGCGCAGCACCGGGTTGATGCTCACTTTGAAGTCTCCACATATACGCACTTCACTTTTTCCTTTCTTCATTACTGGAACAATGGGTGTAGCCCAGTCACTCCAGTCAACTTTTGAGAGAATGCCTGATGCCTCCAAATTTTGTAGTTCGGCGTCTATCTTAGGACGCAGGGCATACGGCACCGGGCGCGCTTTGTGGAATCTTGGGTTGGCATCTTTGTCAAGTTCAATCTTTGCCTTTATGTGTTTTAGTTTACCAATGCCTTTCTCGAACACATGTGCATTAGCCTCCAATAACTGTGACAATCTCTGCTCAGGCCTATGGGTGGAGCTCTTGAGGTCTGTTGAGATATTCAGGGCTTTGATTGCATTCCAGTCAAGCTGAATTCTTCTCAGCCATTCACGTCCTAGTAGTGCTGGCCCTGTGGTTTTCAGGACATAGAGCTCTAGCTTGTGTGTTTGGTCACCATAGACCACATTCACTTTAAGTTTCCCTTTTGGTGACACTTTTTCACCTGTGTAAGTTTTCAACATCACTGATGTCTTTTTCAGTGGTAAGTGGGAGAACAGTCTGTCATAATCGGTTTCAGAGATCACTGACAAAGCTGAACCTGTGTCCAGTTCCATCTTTAGTTTCACTCCAGACACTGACGTTGTGACCCATATGATTTTTCTGTCTTCTTCGGTTATGCTATGCAGTTCTAAGCATGACAGGTCATCGTCTTCACTGCTATTTGTGTTGTCAGAATGTTCTGTAACTTTGTGCATTTCAGTTGCTTTGACCTTTGATTTAGGTTTGAACCCTTTGTTCTTTCCAGATTTTTCTTTTTGGGTATTTATTTGGTCTGATTTGCATGCTCTTTCTATGTGACCTTGTTTGTGGCATTTCCTGCATGTTTTGTCTTTGAACCAGCAGTCGTTTGCATTGTGTGAGGATTTACCACACCTGTAGCAGTTTTGCTTTTTCCTATTCAAGGACATTTGATGCACTTCGTTTTCTAAGCTTTTCTTCTGTAGCTCTGACGCACCCTTAGCTGCTGTTTCCATGGAGATGGCTAGCTCGAGTGCTTTCTTCAAATCTAGCTCTTTTTCGGACAGTAGTCTTTTTTGTGTGCTTGTACAGTGCATGCCACATACTAGTCGATCTCTCAAGGCATCATCAAGTCCCGTTTTAAAGTCACAATGCTGCGAGAGTTTGCGCAGTTCGGCCATATACTCAGATATGCTTTCATCTTTCGTTTGATTCCTCTTATGAAATCTGAATCTTTCCGCTATCACTAGCGGTGCGGGATTCAAGTGCTTCTGCAACGTATCAACAATGTCTTTATATGACTTGCTCGACGGTTTGGCAGGGCTCAGAAGGTTACGGAGTAGACTGTAAGTTTTAGCTCCCATTAGACTGAGGAAGACGGAACTTTTTTTCTCATCCTCGATATCATTAGCGTCGCAGTACAACTCCACTCGCTCTATGTATGATTCCCAGTCTCCACTTGAACTATCAAACTCCTCTACTTTTCCAACGCAAGCCATTTTGGACATGAAATCCAGATATTATCCGTGTATCTTTTCACTGTGTGCTATGCACTGTTACTCACGGATGCTTTGCTAGGTTTCGTTTTGTCTCCTGCTTTATTTCGTCCTTTTCTCCGCCCCTCCGGAAAAAGAAAAGTTCATGTCTCGCAGTTGTTCAGGGTCCAGATTACTCGTCGCCAATTTGTTGTGTCTTTACTCCAACATAGTATAATTAAATAAAGAGATTCATCTCGGTGGTGCAGCATGAACTTTACTGATCTTCACTTGAGTCTCCAA